CCGATTTGAATCCATTTCCCGTACATCTTTTTATGCATCAAACAGCGGCCCTGTACCTTTCGTTTACTTTTCAAATGCTCTTTCATGCTGATCACAAAGAGAAGTTTCTAATGATTTACTGTCCTTGATGCAGAAAGCGCTTGAGCTGCCATTGAATATTTACATAAGCACAATAAACCACATGTGCCATCAAGGCCTTCAGACACTTGCTATTCCAGCCTTTCCACAGTTCTTATAACAAGCATTGAAATGTTGGGTTTGGAATAAAGTGGACCTAAAAAGCATTATGACACTTAAATGTCACAGTAGTATAACATAATATCAAATTAAGTGGCATTAGTGTTTATTATCATTGAGATACTATTATAGTTTTTATTAATCTCTCTAAAGTCGTTTTTATATTTTATGTTTTCATTTTAATGAAGATACAATTTTGTTGTATTTTTGTCATTCTTTATATCTAAATATATGTTTTTTATAAATGGTTATTTTAATTATTTTAGTACATCAAGTTAACCCAAATGAAAATGAGAATGTTACTTTGGTAGCTGAAATAAATCGCAAAATATGGGTAAAAGTTTACAACAAAGGTCCGTACACACCAAGGACTCAGAATAGGATCAGAGGATCAGAATACACCAGACATTAAAGAGCTTGATAGTTGATATTGTGGCTTATATATTGGCAGACACTTGCATGTGCCATTATATTATTAGCATTTTACCAAAATCAAGCTCAAATGGAGTTACAAGGTTTTTGACCTGCAAATACGTGTTTTTGTCCGTCATTGGAACGCATGTTTTCATTAACTTACAGGCTATAAAGTTTTCTAAAGTTCTGGCGAGACTTTTAAGCAACTGCTGAAGCTGAAGGACGTCACAGGTGTCCTAGCAGAGTGTAGTTCATCACATTACCTATGAACATGATCCAACGCTTGACCGACCACAAAATGTCCCGATACTTAAGAAATGATGCAAGATAACATACAGTTTGCACAGAATTTCCCATCATTGGCAATTGCACAATGCTAATCGCGCCAGGCAAATAGTCTGACTTTCACGAATAAAGCACACTTATAATGAGCCTAATTTGCATAGAAAGGAGGCACTTTAGTGCTGAAAAGAATGACTAATTTAAATATGGTGCAAGTGCTGTTTTAGCACTTTTAGCGTCTGGATAAACTAGCTTGATGGCGATTAGTAAAAAAGTTATTGCATGAAAATATCTGTTTTGTGAACTACCTATTTAACCATGTCAACTATTGCAGTACAATTTAAAACCTAACAAATGTATTTTGGTGAACTGTTATGCTTAGTTTTTTAATAGGTTTTATATATATTTTTTATGTTTGTTTTTTTATATTAATTAAAAAGTTGTTTTTGGGCAGTCACGCCAGTGTGATTTTAGTATTATTTATATACTATTATAGTATTTATTGATATTTTGAATTGGCTTTTATTCTTATATTTTATATTTGTTGTGTTTCTTTGTCATTTCTATATAGCTTCAAATTATTTTTATTTCAGTTGTAGCTTTATTTTTAAGTGAAAACTATTTTGAATGGTTTTAGTTGTTAATGACAAGACGTCGCATCACATTTTACAGCCTTTTAATTTAAAAGACTTAATGACCTTGACACACAGTCATGAGGGTCTGCGCCATCTCTATGATGTAATTTCCTGGTTTTTTTTAGTGTTTTTTTTTTTAATGTGTGTTGGTTGATTTGGCAGTCAAAAGTTAGTTGAATACTATTACTTTGACCAAACTTAGTTTCCTTCTTTTAATGAGGGTTTTTCTCTTCATTATAATATAAGGACAACTGCATCCCCCTGACATTTGAGACTTTATGCCTTCAAAAAAAAAATCAAAATGAATTTTAATTAAGAAATTATCATAAAATACTGTCGAATATTCAAGTGATTGTATGTATGAATTGCATTTGAATGAATTTTTGAATAAATGAACAGATGCGCATCATGTAATTGACCCAACTATGCACGCGTCCTAGTTTTAAACTGAGTGCAATTAATACCAATTGTATCTCAATTAAGTTCGAGTCCAAACCTTTTATCCCCATTGCATATTCTCGACTGCACGTTTAATCAGACACATCTACATTCAAAAGCCAGAATCTAATTTGAAGGGATCACATTCTATTAACGAGGTTCGTATTGCATTGGTTGCAATGATCAGCATGTGTGTGGCGTGCTGTAATAATGACATTAGAGACCTCTGCTGTTCTTTGTTAGCTGATTAATCCGCCATTTGTCACCATTGTTTTACGCAGCTCTGGGAAGTAAATGTTGTTGACACGCGGCGGCTGTGGCGCGGTGGTGGTTTTTGTCTAGACAGGTGCTGTGATTCACTCTCTCAGTCATCTGGCTCTCTCTCCACAGCAGTTCCGACTCGGTTTAATTAGTCACCGGTGACGGTTGCGAGTTGTTCGGCTCCTGTGGCTCTGTGGAGGAATTGGCAGCGAGCAAACATGTTCTGAGGTGTTCTCGTTGGGCGAGGGAGGAGATACAGAGATGTGAGTCCTGAGGGAAGCTTCCTTACAGAGGAACGGCGCTCGATGGTTCAGGGATGCATGCTGAAGATTGCAGTGTGAACATACATTTCCCTGATTCCTGTAGAGGATTGTGGAGGAGTAGCAGAATGGTTCACGTGGTGGGCCCACCTACAAGGAAAAAGCTCAATGTGAATTTAAAAGACAAGTTCGGTATAAAGGCCTGTTTTAAGATTGTTTCTGATGAAATAGAATGGTTAAGATTGTTTTTTAGACAAATGCTGCTGTCCCGAGAATTTTCGGATTCTGTGGTAGCACCCCCCCCCCCCCCCCCCACCTCTACAATGGTAGCATAGGTGCACAGGAACAATCCTTCATAAAACGCATAACACTTTAGTTTACAAAGACGTGAAACTCACCGAGTGGTCTGGGGTGTTCACTAATATGCTCACACACAAAAATCGCTGCAAAAGATGCTTTCCAACAGGTTTTATCGTAGTTTTTGTACAACTCCATTGACTTGTATTGTATGTTCTGTGATGTACGGTATTACTCCGCCGCCGGAAACGGAAATGGGGTTGTTTGTATTCTTTCTGTAGTCTTACCACAGAATCCGAACATTCTCGGGACAGCAGCATCAGAAACGATCTTAAAACAGGGCTTTAATTGTAAAATACCGAACTTGTCCTTTAAATGATGGTCTTGTTGTGAGTGATAACAGGTCAATTGAACTAATTCAGACCACTATTAAAGTGTAACTTAGCCGATTTTCAACATGCTTTGTATTTTTACAATGTCGGTAGTATATGTAAATGAACAATGATTTCTCGTTCTCTGTGTTACCTAAACCGAGAAATTCACGTTTATTCATCAGCAAAAGTCCGTCGGATGACACAAAACACACCGTCCAGTGAATTTTAACAGCTCCAGGGCTTTCAGGAAAACTATACATTATACTTCCGTAATTTTGTATTCCCTGCCCACGGACAGTCGGATTGACAGAGGGTTATTAACAGAACACTTATTGTAAGGGTAAGTTTATCACTAAAAATGTTATCATATTTTGTCTACTCTTTAAACAGCATTATGGTAAAAATACTATAGCAACAAATTTCTTACCGGCAAGCGAAAATGTTTTGCTTCGGGATGTTGGGCTGAAGGTGCTCTCTGTTCCTTATCTTCCCGATTAACTGACAGAATGACAGTTTCTTTCAGTTTGTCCCTTCCGTTTGGCCTAAAACACTGTGTTCGTGGTCATCCAGTTTGAAATGTTGACTACAAAGATTTTCTGTTGCGCCGTTCTCTCCATATTTACAATTCTTTGCAGCCTTTAGCTTCCGCCTACAACACGCTGAATCCTTCACTGGAAACCGAAAGTAACTCACTCCTGATTAACTTTTACCTGGGAACAATACAAGTCGACACCATTATGACTAAAAGTTTGCTAAGAAGTATTTCCTACTAAAGCAAGGTGGTATTTGACTCTGGTCAAGCGTATCTATAGCAGACTGGTGGGAATGGCCTTGAACAGCAACATGCCCAGTGCATTATGGGTGTTGAATGTTTCTTTTCTCTAGTCAAATAGCACTGATTTCAATCCTTTTCGCCTTTCTTCCGTGTATTCAGCCAAGTTTTAGTGAAAGGCCGTTTTCTTTTTCATTATTTTCTTACACTGCTTAATGAACGCCCAGATGCCGTCCACCCTGCTGAGGGTGAGCAGCTAAGAATTGTTTTTATCATAGATAGATTCTTGGGAAGGCGCGTAAATGTCACATGCTTCGGATTTTCCTGGCAAAAACATTCTTCACATAAAAATCAGTCTACAGGATTTCATAGACAACCTGTAGGTGAAATCATCAATACATGAAAAATCTTACATATAGCCACTTTAAGTCATTAAATTGAAACTTTTCTTTTGAACAACCATATGAAACCAACATGAATACAAAGAGTACATTTCTAAAACTTAACGATAGGTTTTTGAAGGATTTCTTTGTCTTGGACCCTTTATCATTGCCACATTTAGTATAATTTAGTGCATTTAAGTTCACAAATGCTATGCTTAAATGCAAAAATTTAAATTGCAAACAACTTTTAATTTTTAATGTACAGATGAATTGTAGTGAAGGAAAATCTTTGTCATTCCCGCTATTTGAGTCAACTCTTTGGATAGTGAGATGAGATTATTGAATTTTTACTGAATTAGCTTAATGCTGATAATGAATTCAAACACACAAATTCCTGCACATCCCTGTCATTTACATTTATTAAACACTTATGCATATTTTCGACCTCGTGAATGTGAAAAACACATGCAGATTCCACTCGAGCCTAGTCATAGCTGTAGTCTAAATTTCGCTTGAAACTTTTCCACATTGCTTTAGACATTGACAGTTTTTTATGTTATGCATTGTTTCAAAATGTGCTACACTGCCTCAAACAAATGCCGAGTCCCTTTGATCTCTTTCTGTCTTTGGCTCTTCCACTCTCTCAGGTTTACATTCCCTGCAGAAGCGCTATTGTTCTGGCCAACGAGGAAATCGATTACTGCTAGTGAAACCCAATCTGCGATTCACCGCGAGATGGAAAGCCAGCGCGCTTCAACCTACCTCCATTCACAGCGTGTTTGCCATCATCCTTTAGAAACCACACATTTTCCCTGTGAACTGCCACCAAAACTCAATTGAGTACAAGATGTTGTGAATACCTTCTAGGCCATTTCATCTCAGGTAACTTTTCCTGTCATTGTTCACACATTAATAATGAAGAATATCACACTGGTCTAACTTAGATCAAGTTTAATCCAAATCAATATAACCCCAATATTTCTGTTTTTCAAATGCCTAGGTTTATTTGTTTCATAAAGATGCATCTTGCTGTGGTTAAGTGTGAAATTACTATTTAAAAGTAAATAATGTTGAAGTTAATAATCACTAAATGATAATTGGCCAGTATTATAAGCAATATTTGTCAGCACTGTATTTGTATTACCGTAAATAATTGTGAAAAGTAAATATAATTAATTGACAATAAGTGTGATCTGTCTGCTATTTAATTCGAATATGACTCAAGCACTTTTTTGACATTCTATGTCAGTGATGGGAACTGTTCTGTAAAAATATGAATGTGAACCATGTATTAATTCATCCAAGTTCAAACAATCATTCAAGAAGGATGTATCAATTACATGTCAGTTTCATACTGAGCTCAGTTGAATTATATATTTTTAATACATAAACTCTGTGTAAAGTCATAAGATCTAAGTTATAAGTTCTGACAGGCTGTTGTTCAGTGCCTTCACAATGTTTTCAATCATAACCAGGATTTGATCACTTACTAAATTAGATTTTTTTTTTAAACAAAAGCTGTATTAATACAGAGATAATATAGCTTGTGCTAATAATAATTAATTAATTTTTCAGTTAGAAGACAGTTGTGCAAAATCACTTTCTGAAATTCATGTTTTATAATATTTTTTCTCTTCACCGACCACAGATTTTGTAGCACTGTTAGAGATCCAAAAATAAGTCTGTGTGCAGAAATACATGCATTATTATCCTGAAGCTCGTCAAAGCATCATAGGAGACACTTGTTGCTCATTTTGCTCTGTCTTGTGGTTTCGTGATTCAAAGAATCTAAAATTGCCCTTAATGAATTTGATGCTTATAGATGTGCAGTAATTGAACCTGTTATACTGAGAAATGGCTTTCCAGAGAGCGACTTGAATAAAGGTTTACGCTTATTCTACATGATTCTTGTTATTTCGAAAATACAGCAGTTATTGTCGAATGGTTTTAAACAAAGCAGTCAAATTCAAAAGTTATCTTTGTGATGGTCAACATTTGTTTGTGTGCAATGTTAAACACTGGGCAATTTGTGTGTGAAAGCCATATTAACTGAAATAAATCACTTCTAGAAAGAAAGAAGGACTGCTGGTTTCTTGCTCTTATGGAGCTCAACAGAGTTTTGGGAAGTAAAAGCATATTCAATTCTCAATTTTTAGCATTTAAATGAGCATTTTAGTTTTCTGTTACCACAAAAACAAGCTCAAGAATGACCACTCAAATATTTAACTAATGACAGAGTCAGTAAAGTAAGATAAACTAGTCAAGTATAGTTAATGTTGATTCAGTTACAGTATGTAATGTGCAATTCTTCATGGGGTGAGTGGATCATTCCTCATTAAAAGAAGTACAAGATATTTGTTTTCTATTTCTCGATTATATTTTTGCTTTGAATCATTTGGGTTGGGTTTAGCTTAAAAGTCTTTACTGAAGAATTTTTCGAAATGTATATGGAGAAAATAAATGTTATTTAATTAATGTCAACAACATTACATATCATACATTATTTATTAAGCGTATCATTTCACCAGAAGATAAAGTCCCTGACAGAATGTTGATATCCAACAGACATAGAAATACTCTACGGGTCCCATGCAGTGATATGATGAGGTGTTTCACATCATAGTTATTACTAAATTATATTTTATCACATACTTTTTTATCACGACTAAATCGCTGTACATGTAGGGAGCCCCTAAAGGGACATGGTGATGGGGAAAATATATTTCAATGCTTTTGTGTTCTCTCGCAAACGTTTTGCGTTCCCCCGAGAAACTTTACATTCGCTCGTAAAGTCTTACAAGTTTTGCGAGGGAACGCAAAACATTGGGGAGAGAAACTCTGCAGGACGGTGGCCCTCCAGGAGCAGTTTTGGACACCCGTGCTTTAGGGGCTCAGTAATTGACCAATCAGAAGCCAGAACCAGAACTGGTCCCTTTTATTATGAGATGTATGCAACTCGTAGTGCTTCTAAGGTAGATATTTGCGTGTTAGTCTGGATGTGCTTTCACAGCCATTGATCTCAGGCAAATTTGCACTTGTCAGGCTTAATGCAGTGATTGTATATAGAGATGTTTAAAAAGGCTTTGTCTAGTGACAGTGACATCTTTATCACTGAGATTAACAGATCAAGTCTCTAAAGTGCTCGAAAACAGACAACAAACCACATCCTCACGCATTGATATACTTATCCAAGGCCTTTTTATAGCTTACTCTATTAAAGTGTTATGTAACTCACCAGGGCATGTTTATTTTGAGTAATATTTATTTTGGTAAACTATGGAAACCCATTTTCGGCTCAAGAATAAAATGTAATTGTGAGATAAAGTTATTCTCATTCGACTGAAGTCAGTTCAATATTGATTCAGTTCAATAAGTTCATCAAGTGATGTTTACCTATTTTCAAGAGTCACGTTATGAGATATAAAGTCCCAATTATGAGAAATAAATTAGCAGTTGTGAGGTATTAAGTTAGAAAGCACAAATGGTGAGAAACCAAGTTGCAAATGTGAGATATAGTCACATTGTAAGATCACAGTACATCACAATTGTGAAATATGAACTCACATTTTGTGATGGAAAGTCCCAAATAAGATCACAATTGCGGGATTTACAGTCACTAAGAAATATCAAATCACAAGTAGTGTTGATGGTAATGCATTACAAGTCAAATTTACTAAGTTACATTGTTTTCCCATGTTTTCACTGACAGCTCTCCTGTCCGCATGTTGAGAGAAATCTGGAGTAAGAGGCAATGGCGTTGTGTGCCATCGCACAAAAAAAAAAAAAAAAAAAATCATCAAAATGAATACAAACGGTGAAATGCAAACTCAGATTATTACACAAACCTGCAATAATTAAATATGTTACATAACACCAATATACTTTATGTATTTAATCTCACTTTATTAAACAATGTCTTTGCTGCTGACCTTCCATGATCAACCAAGTGTTCAACTTCCTTCTCCTGTGCATAGACAGTATAAGAAGTGGACAGAGCCATCTCATTGGAACTCAATTGAGACAGCGGGTGGTTATGACGCAATCGTTAGCCTATTTTTACAAAAACTGTTTCTAGGGGGCCATAATGTAACATAGAAGGTAATGGAGCCCTTTATACATTGTCGTGTTTCTTTAGAAATAAATAATGGACAAATTGAGTCTTTAAACGCCTCAGATGTAAAGTTATTCGCTGTCAAAGTGACGCCAAAATGAATGGGAGTCAATGGAAATGCTAACGCAAGTGAAGTTCTGCTACAAGATGGCGGCACCCGGCCGGCTTCAACTTCCGGTCGATGGATTACCCCCTTGCTCCTGTGTCCTATTCTTCTGTGATCCGGAATGGCAGCAGAGCTGACTGGGTCATTTGAGCTGCGCCCTCTACTGTTCAGGTGGAAATCTGCATTTGCACTTTTGGGGCCAGATTTACTAAACGGGGTAAATCAGTGTGAGAGAGCAATTCCAAAAAAAAAGCGCTAATGGGAGTGGAAAGTTTTTCGCGTTATCTAGTAACGTCGTGCAAATTATGTAATGCAGTATTGCAACTCATTACTTTTAAAAGTGGCATTCCCCAACACTGGTCGCAATTATGAGATACAAAGAGAAACAAAGTCACAATCGTGAAATATGTGATATAAAGTTACACTGGGATATATAACTGCATTTCATTTGTCATCGGAAGTCGTAAAAGTCCTAGTTCCCAGTAGGAACTTTTAACTTAGAGTTGCAACTGGGAAACTCGGAGGAACCGCAACAACCCTGACTTCAGTTACCTTAAATTATATGTTTATCTCTGTAAAGCTGCTTTGAAACAATCCATTGTTAAAAGCGCTGTATAAATGAAGATGACAGTTGTGTGAAACTGGGAAACTCGGAGGAACCGCAACAACCCTGACTTCTGTTACCTTAAATTATATGTTTATCTCTGTAAAGCTGCTTTGAAACAATCCATTGTTAAAAGCGCTGTATAAATGAAGATGACTTGACTTCAGAATCCAAAATGGCTGCTCAGCACATTAACCATAATGAAACAGTAGAAATATATTTATTAGCACTTGTCTCATAAAACCATAACGTCATTCCCAGATACCACGTCCCTCCTACGAGGAAAATGGAACGCAGCATAAATTCAAAGTCACAATGTGAGAATAAAAACACAAATTTGATATAGTCACTCTGATGCAAGATATAGTCTCAATTACAAAAAAAAAAAAAGATGCAATTGTAAGATCTTTTTATTTACTCCGAGGTAGGACCTGGTTTCCATATAATCAGTGTACAATACCAGCAGAAAAGCTATTTGATCACTTTCTGTTGCAAAGGGCCCCATTTTAACTGCTCAGCCATATGGGCAGTTTTATGTTGGCTGAGCACAAGAAAACATTCCTATTCCAAACGAGTTCTGAACACCTCGTTTACCTTTATGTAACAGCAAAAGGGCTTAAAATCCCTCTCTGTTTTGCTAAAAGCTTTGAGAGCGCCACTTTGCATAAATATCTGCCTATTCCACAAGGACCATTGTGAATTTGAAGGAGGACGTTGTGCTTAATCGTACCTTTCATCCTGACCAATGGCATTCTCATTAGAGTTCTTGAATTGAGCGTGTTAATCTAAACGGGGGGAGTCAACAGGAGCGCTGGGACCGCTTTGTTTCGCTCGTCTTTTGAGCTAATCAAGTCTTCGTCATTAATCACCTCCGTGACTGTGTGGAACTGAAGAGTGGCTGAAGGAAGCTGCGACCCCACACTCCCACACAAGGTCACATGTGGACAATGGCTTCTTTTTATGCGCATTATTCTTCCTCCGTTTTTTCGCTCTCCCGTCTCCACTTACTGATGCTCCATGTAAATCATCCGCTTTCATTGACACTTGTGTGATATATGTTCGGCCTTTAATGTAGTACAGAGAGATGTGCTCTGCATCTATCTTCCCTTTCCCTTGTGAGTCGGATAAACTTGCATTATGTCACTGATGAGCCAGAAAATGGCAGTAGTAATGAAATTTCACTTGGGTTTTGTCAGAGCTCCTGTTTCCGAGAGCTGCATTAGCAATAGTGCTAGGCGGGGATGAAGACCCAGGCCTGTGATTGGCTGTGAAGTAGTTTGCCTGGCCATTGGGAACACCTGAACTTTTCCCGATGAGCCGATCGGCAACACTAGTGGCGGACCTGAGAAGCAAAGATCAGAAGCCAAGCAATGAAAAGGCTATAGACCTTATTCACAGCAGCGCCA